ATTGAAATCTCTGCTCATGTCAGAACAGAATTACTTTCATTCTACCTTATAGCAGTCATTGCCTTTCTGCCTTATATATTCATTACAACAGTTCTTAAATAACTACATGCCTTTATTTGTTGACAAGATCGCTTTTTGCTTTTAAGTGACATTTTCTCGAAATTAGCATTTTGATAGAACGTTAGCTCTTCCGCATCTCAGATGTCCCTTTTCTCTCAACAAAGCTTACATCTTGATTCTGCACACTTTAGCTTCACTTGGATACGTCTTTTCTATATTTTATGTGAAAAGTCATTGATCAGGAAAAAGCCTTTTTTACACTATGAGCTAAAATAATTCTATCAAATGAGATCCTGTAGAGTATTCCAATAAGAGGCACTAATGTTGGGCGCAAAGATATTTCACCATATAAATAAAACAACATTTTAAAATTATTGAAAAATTAAACACTTATTTATTTATTTATTTTATTGTTATTATTTTATCAATCACATAATATTTTAAACATTTTATTAAACATTGAATATTATAATATATTAGGTTGTACTGAAAGTTCGTTCGCAATATTTTCAAAAATTCATAACTCTGTAAATTCTCGACGAGTTTGTATGATCGAAATTTTGCATGAGAGAGGAACTCATGCTCTTTGCACCAGTACCTGAACTGTTCGTTAATGTTTACAAATGAAGGATATAGAAGCTAAAAACCAAAATCAGTCAAAATTTGAATTTTTCGTGTAGGGTCGTAAAAAATTGGAAACTTGCAGCAAAAATCGAGCAGTCGATACGGTAGGTTCCTTCATTAGCTCTTTCTAACGGTGCAAAGTTTGCGCCGATTGAGCTTCTCTATGAAAAGTTACAATTTCCCTGAAAAATGCCAAAATAAATCAAATTCGCCCTTTTGTATAGCTTGCTCGAAAATCGTAACTTTTCATTGAAACGCTCCATCGGAGCAAACTTTGCACTGTTGGAAAGAGCTGGTGAAAGAACCTATAATACCGACTGCTCCGATTTTTGTTGCAAGTTTCCAATTTTTATGACCTTACAAGAAAAATTTAAATTTTGACTGATTTTAGTTTTTAGCTTCTATCTCCTTCATTTGTAAACATTAACGAACAGTTCAGGTACTGGTGCAAAGAGCATGAGTTCCTCTCTCATGCAAAATTTCGATCATACAAACTCGTCGAGAATTTACAGAGTTATGAATTTTTTGAAAACGAACTGGTGCGAACGAACTTTCGGTGCAACCTAATATATTACTCTATATCCTTTATTCATAATCAATGCAAGGCTTCACTTGATTCAACAATCCCTTTTTTGTTTTGACCTAATAGTTACGCAAACTGGACCCATAAAATATCTACAACAAGACACACTTTTATCATTTTGAATCTGGAAAAAAAGGCTAACAATTACACCAACCCCTTCACACCTGTAGTAACGTCTCCCACATCCTACTCCCTCCTCCTACTCCCCCCCCCCCCCCGCGTATCTTTTCCTATCTTCTTTCGCAATAAAGTTTCCCGTCTTGTATATGTTTCGCGTGTTTGAAATTTACGCATCATTTTCTGAATAATTGACTAGCTTTTTGCAGGAGTACGAAGCCATGCCTAATCAATGAAAAAGTGAGAACAATTAGCAAGCATTAGCGCGTAATTAGAAAGCTGACTTGCACTTTAGAGGCCTTGTCCAAAAGCACTGGCTCTTTTGGTGCTGTTCCTATAAGTTCACTATTATAAAAAAACATAGTCACTACAAATCACGGCTTTTCTATTTCTGGATGTATCTGTTTTCTAGCGAGCAGTTCAAATCCAATAACTTCACAGACCAATAACATTCGATACTTCAAACACAAAAATACGAGCGTTTTTGTCTGTCAGAATGGCAGTTAATCAGGAGGTATTCTACAAGCTAATATCTTTGATTGAAAGAAGTTAGTAGATTTCATTCCACTTGGATTTTGTTCAATTATTACTTTACATGTGCCTCCAAGGTGCAAAAAGCAAGTTGGCAAAAATCATTATTTTGGGTTTTTAAAAAATGGATTTGTAGCTTAGAAAATGCTTTTGGAATTCGCAATAAGATATATACAACCTCCACATTCTGGTTGTGGCCCACATCTTTCCATAAAAGTATCACTAGAATGTGTTCTTTATTATTTGTAAACGTACAATACCGTTTGCAAAAAAAATCCAAATCCCCTGTTTGCAAAAAAAATCCAAAAAATCTCTTCTGAATGCAACGAAACTTTTCTTTTTTATCGTTTCTCCTTCGTCGATACTTTTCAGTTTGAATTAAGATTATTTTGCCTGAGACAAATTTGGTAATGCACTACCATAACCTTAGATGTGTGATAGAATTAGCATCCTATAGTTTTTTATGCGGTATACCGTACCCCGCGCATTACAGTAACGCAGTACGGCTTAGGCCTCGAATAGAGTTCACGCGTTTTGATCGTCGCGATTCAATCGCTACAAGACAACTGTTACGAGTTCGTTGCATGCCGATCAGCTTGCATTTCGGTTATGATACTTTTCCAGCTCAAAATTTTTGAATGTAAAATGAAAATGAATGAAAATTGCGGCGATCGAATAGCGACGATCAAATCGCGTGAACTCTGTCCGAAGCCTTAGTCAGCCCCTTTTTTTTAAAGGACCAAAATATTTATGCTCGGTTCTGCCATTTGTGACCTACTTTGATATCGTTTGCTTATATTTAAGATAAACTACAATGAAAATTCAGAACGTCAGTCTACCGTTGAGCATTTAAGCTGTTCTGCTATAAGAATATATCCTCAAAATTGAAACGCGTTCTCATCACCTTCTCGTAGTTTCTAATCTAACTTCAATTCCGCCATTCCCTCCAATTGTTAATTAATTAGAGCAAAAAGTTGACGCTCAGTTGGAGCAGGCATATAAAGAAATATGTCATTGGAGAAAACCGTGTTTTATTTTCTGACGCACAGTGGATGATTTCTTGCTTCTAATTGCGGAAATTCGTCAGTTGTGCTTACTAGTTGCTATGCCTCTTTGCTTGTAATCTCTGCGCACACTCACTTTTATGAACAAAGCTAATTTGGTTCACTAATAAATAATTGTCTCCTTCCTCAGAAAACGCGTCAAAATAATTCGTAAAGTCTAACTCCTCGAAACGAAACCAGGACTGCTACATCTGGAGAAAAAATTTTGTTGTAAATTTATTGTTGCGTTTGGCTAGCCGGCAGTAAAGGAAGATAATTTGGAAGTAATTGGAAATGGTTATAAGATAACAGAGTTGCAATAATCTCAAGAGAAGCTTCATACAAAAATCTTCTCTTTCGAAGTCTAGCGAAGATGTTTATAATACAACTAGCTGGCTTACCCGGCTCCGCCGTATGTTCCGAATAGAAAATTCCATTTCTTAACCGATCCGGACCAAACTTGGCACACATACCCTTCGGGCCCCGGCGGGTGTCACAGTCCACTTTTCGTTATCGATCGATGTCGATTTTATCGATTTTTTGCAAAATTTGAGCTACGGGGCTGGGAGTTGGCAGAGGGGTGTAATCGAGCATGCTGATCACCCCCGTGGGGGTGATCAGCATGCTCGATTACACCCCTCTGCCAAATTCCAGCCCCGTAGCTCAAACTTTGCAAAAAAATCGATAAAATCGATGAAAGTAATGCACGATTTTAAAAACTAATATTGTATTCGGAATCCCCATGCTCACTTACCCCCCCCCCCCCGTGTCAACTCCCAGCCCCGTAGCTCAAATTTTGCAAAAAAATCGATAAAATCGATATCGATCGATACGAAAAGTAGCCCATGACACCCGCCGGGGCCCGAAGTGTATGTGTGCCAAGTTTGGTCCCGATCGGTTCAGAAATGGAATTTTCTATTCGGAACATACGTACACACATACAGACAGACAGACATACAGACAGACAGACATACAGACAGACAGACAAACAGACATTCAGCTTTATATATAAGATATCAAAGCTTGTCAGTGTTTCATTCAATAGTTGCGTCTAAATGCGCTAAGATCCCCTTACAGCGCCCAGTCAAGTAGATTTGGGTTACATTATCTTAGAATAGGAAAAAAGCGACCTCTTATGACTTAATTCTTTTGCCTATCGAACGTGTAAATTCATTTCACTGGTGATGATTATACCATCACAAGTGGAAATTCAAGGATTTCGAAGAAGATTGCAGAATGTGGCGCTCCAGATTCTTGATATCTGTGATTTTTAGACCTATCCTGTGCAAATGCGTCATCCAGTATTGTCCCAAACCAGTCTATTTCATCAGCTCATCAAGTCTCAATCAATAAACGCCGCCCTTTTCTTTTTTTTACTTTTACATGACTAACTAATGAGACAGAAAGACCACTACTCACATTCTATTTTATTAATACTATTTATATCTATTAGTGCATAATGATAAACCAGCTCGTCTCATCCAACAGGAAATCATCTTTATACCAATCCCGTCCGAAAACACAACAGTTAACATCCCGATCACATCTTCTCATGAACAATCCTATCAAAACATGAATTCCCAAAGTATATTACCAAATTTTGTGTTTAATGACCTTGCTCTTCTCTAAAAGGAACTTTGTTTGAGCCTAGTCAGCTAGCCTTCGCCCGCAGGTTCGCTAGCAAAAAAAAGGAGGGTACTACAATTTTAGAGGATGCAAGGTTATATGATTTATTCTGTGACTTAAAATTTCATTTGCAAGCTAATACTGATTTATATTTCAGTAACCTACAGTGTTTAGATTTGTAATTGTTTTCTTCCATGCCATTTTTATCTGCCTGAATTTTGAGACTAGCTGTTACTTTTATTTCGAGTTCTTTCTTTTCGGCACACTTCAAGTGTATTCGTAAAAAAATAAATAAATGAATATCAAATTGGCCAATCTCTTTGTAGCTCACGGTGTCTGTAACTTTGTTTTTATTTTTTCACATTCACTTTACATGGCCTTTTTATAAACTATATTTCCGTGAATTCTATTTTCAGCGGCCGTCACGAGATCGCAATGAGATGGGTATGTGAGTTGCTCCTCGTTGTAGCTGTTGAAGCAGTCATTGACAAAGACTACAACTCCATCGAAGAGGAGCGCTCCATGGAACTCCCGTCTTCAGCAGAGTTGACGAGACCAGCACGTTATAGGTGGTCGCTTAATATTTTTTTCAGTCAATTGTAAAGTAATTAATTCTTTCATAACCAATACACCAGTTTCTATTTGAGCAAAAATCGTGAAATAAAAAAAAACAAACTATTAGATAACAATTAGATAACAATAACCATGACTCGGCACAGGTGGCTTATAAGCAAGCTGGATATCGTTTTTTGGTACAAAAAGCAAAAGGGATATCGTTCTGAGATAAGCTTTTTCAGTCGAAGTTTCGTTTTTTAGTCGATTCGAATATTTCGAAGGGTCAAAGAGAACTTAGTAAATTTTGCGAAAGTCATGGAGACTTCGTTTTATGCATTTTCAAAAAACCACCTCGTGCCGAGTCCTGACAATAACAGTTAGATAGGATTTTCCTCTGAGCAAGTGGTCAGTCAGCCAATAGATATCTCGAATGCAAAAAAAACATTAAGCCCTCTAAAAGCAGGCCATTGTTTCTTAGGCACTGTTTCAAAAAATATTCTGCTTTACAACACTTGCTTTCTTAAGTTAGATTAGATGTTTTTTACCTTCGCATTTTTGATTTAAATTAATTCAAACTCTGACTCAGAAAGACCATACCACTGGTGCAAAATATCTCATTTTTCACGATATCATGGTAGAAATTATTTTCACGTATCACGGTAGGCATCTGTCCAAATTTCTGGCCCTTTCAAAGTTTTGCTAGAAGCATTTTTCGGACTCTCATAAAATCAAACATCAGACGTGCACAAGAATGCTCATTTTATATTAGGTTGCCCGGAGAATAATGTCGCATCGTGTTTCATCATGAAATATCACAACGGGGTGAGCACAAAAAAAAGTAAATGAGGTACCAACCAGGCCAAAGCAAGCTCTACACAATGAATCTTGAACATTGGCGCCAAGTTTGATTTGCTGAAAGTCTAAAGCCAAATTTTAAAAGGCACTAAATGCCTGAAAACCGAAAAAATGTATCTGCGTATAAAAAATGGGAACCCCCAACTTGCTCACGCATAAATCTACATCATACACTCGTATGCACACTTTCTTGACTTTTGCATGAGTAGAAGTTAAGAAATCGAATTTTAAAACAACTTCTCTAAAGCAATCTAGAGCTTTTCCTAAATTGGTGAATGTTTAGGAACCTTTCGAAGGACAACCATGAAATTTGAACTTTCTACAAGATATAGATTTCGAGAAAAATCAAAATTATCGCAAAAAACTTCAGAAATGCTACAAATTTGTACTTTCGACCTATTATACTTTTGTTTCTTGTATTCTTGCCTTGGAAAAAATCCAAAATTGTACAGGTAAATGTAAGCTGTGGAGAGCGCATGCCTGAGCAAATCCGAAGTCCATAGAATTCTATGTACTGAGCTTCGATTTTTTGAGTATTTCAAAATCTTTACATTTCTACTCCAAACTTCACGTAGATCAAAGTCTGCTCAAAAGTCTGGACGCCATCTTGTAGAGCTTGCTTTGCTCTATCAAATCTTATCCCGTTTAGTGTTTTTCGTGGTCACTCTGTCGCGGAGGATGCAATGCGACATTATTTTCGGACAACCTAATACTTTCCGTATTATCAAAAGAATAAATTTTAGAAACTGCACTCGTGACACCGATATCATCGACCAGCTGCTTAATGGCACTGGCTACAACAAATTCCGGATACCACGTGGGTGTTCACCCTTTATTGAACACGAATTACATAGATCAAAATTGCAGAAGACGAAGGAATGACTGTCTCTGTGGAGATTTGGATCCAGGCAATCACTTCGATAGACGAATTGACAAACGACTTCGACATGGATATCTACATTACTGAAAGATGGCTGGATCCTGCGCTCAACTTCGAGAATCTTTCGCCCTGTAAAGGTGGGTCGAGATTTTCGCTCATAAGAACTACAACAAAAAATATCTTGGCTGTGAAAAGGATTCTCAACCGTCAAAGCTATCAGTAAGATTTTAGAAACTAAATTAAGGTCGTTACAAACACTTTATCTCAGAGTTGAACACTGGCCAACTATTGCTTGCTCCCCCCCCCCCCGCGTCTACTTGTACTGATTTGAAGTATTTCCTCTATCTCCTTTTCATATTCAACTCAAATCGACTGATTTAGGCAATCTTTCGCTCAATCACCAAGTTCTTGATCGATTATGGACACCGAATAGTTGCTTTATAAATAGTAAAGTTGCTCATATTCACGAATCACCCTTTAGGTAGTATTCAATTACTCTACATCATTTCCTTTCTATAATATTTATGATTTGACTTGCAGAAGTGTGTTTCTGATGTTGTTCCCCAATGGCAGCATTATGGTCAACTATCGCGTACGAGTGAAAGGGCCATGCTCAATGGAACTCAGTAATTTTCCCTTAGACTTACAAAAATGTGGATTAATCTATGAAAGGTAAACTACTGATTTTTTGGCTTTGTTGTTACTATGGAATATTTCAGTTTCAATTACAATAATCAAGAAGTACGAATGCGATGGTCGTCTGATACCGGTGATCCCGTGCGGCCTATGGCTGAAATTGTACTACCCGACTTTGATCTCTTCAAAATCACAGCAAACAGGATAGAAGAGGTATTTTTTGACAAATTTCCATGCTAATAATTTTTTTCACAATTTAAAGAATATTAGGTTGGAAACTAAGTTTTGCAACTCACTGAATAATCTTGCTCTCATTTCATATGAAGCACTCAAATTTTGCCAGTATGTTGCTTATAACGTAAGCTACAAGCATAGCTGCTTTTCCGCCAAGTTCTGACGTCGCAGTGAGGATTACGGTAGGTATACGGTATAAAGGGCAAGAATGTAAATCATTACGGATTTGGCTGAAAGTTGGCGTAGGGGGGATTATCCGACATGCTGGTCACGAATAACATGCTGAATTTGCATGGTAAGGGCTTTTTTTGAGAATACCATAGTGTTATTGTTGATGATTCATGTATCATCAACCTTGCTAACTCCTAATCTTGTAAATTGTACTCACGCCCACATCTACATTTAGATCGTCTCGGTAACTTTATAGAGTCATTGTTGCATGTTAGCTTATTGATATTTTGTCTTTCGCCTCCTCCTTGCTCGCCCGGAGTGTTGATGATTTGTGTATCATCAACCTCAACAATTCAATAGTCCTAATAGCTCACGGGTATTCCCCATAGGCTATATTACCCAATCGCTTATATTTAAGTGCCGAATCACTCACCAGTGAGTGGCACCTATCTTCCAGGGGCCGCGCCAGGCCGCGGCATCCTCTTTCTTGCATATATTTCTTGGACATTCCGATTGTGCACGGGTCAGCTCCGCCTTACTACTATACTTGGGTCCGAATCGAATAGAAATTCGATCATTCGAATAAAACATTCGAATATATTCGTATTCGAAATTCGATATTCGGAGTTCTTCCATTTTCGAATAATATTCGAAACTCGAATAATTGAGAAAACGGGGTTTCGAATAAAATTCGAAAATCGAATAATCAAAAAACAGGGTTTCGAATATTATTCGAAAACTCGAATAATCAAAAAACGAGGTTTCGAATATTATTCGAAAACTCGAATAATCAAAAAACGGGGTTTCGAATAGATTTTATTCGAATGTTTTATTCGAATGTTTATTCGAATTCGTATTCGAATGTACTCCGTATTCAGACTATTCGACTTTGTTGCAGAGACAAATGCTGAGTATCAAGCTCACTTCGTCCGCGTTTTTTTTTCGCAAAACTCGGTAATGCATCTTTTGCAACCGGTATACCTTTGAACTGTATGGAGAGTCGCATTCTTCCAACTGCTTGCGACAGTAAAAAAAATCATAAGTTTAATTGATGTTTTTTCGATCAGTGAGATTGTTCACACTGCTATTGGCACCAAATCAGCAAAGAAGATATCAAATTCAAGCTCATGTTCTGAGTTCATACTGAATTGAAATGGCTGTTCTTCTTTTTTTTGCATTGCTCATGTTGCGGTACGCAAAGCCCACACTAGTGAGCACTCTTGCTCGCATAAATCATTTCAAAACCGCCTATTCGTTACCTTGGAGTTTTTTGCGAATTGGTGTATATTGAGTAAAGGACATCGCAGTTGTAGAGCAGGATTAGACGGTTTAGATCGCCGTACGCGTTTTGCCAGTTACGAGATGTCTTCAGATGTAATGGCAGTTTACCACAAATGTTTAGCGTGTACAATATACTAAAATGTAGATGCCCTGCATTCTGTACTTTCAGAATAGGTTTTGGACAATTTGAGTATTGCCATACCACGTCGCCACTGAAATGCCTGCAGTATGCCCGGGGTTATAGGGGCATTCGTGCTCGCTTCGCGCAGGAAACCACATGCCTTCGTCTACGACTAGCGTATACCACACAAGACGAAAGTCTCCGATGAACAGGCAATGTATCGTAGCATTTGTGGAATTTAAGTACACATGTGGCCACCTTATTGCTTCAAAAGATCGCACACCTAGCGCTATGAATCCGAACAGCTCGTTAGGTGCTTACACCAAGTTGCAATGTTTCTCATTTTTAGATTTTGGCTCCAGCCAATTTTATCTTTACTCTGCTAAACGTCTTTGAAATCCAGTGGAAGCCTGACAAATAAGGCCTGCTGTCGAACAAAGCCGCAGGATCAAGGTGTATAATTGCGGTTCTCCGTACGGTGGATAACGCGCAAGGATCACGAAGTGCAGCCGCTTACACGACGCGCGCGACCGCTCAAAGCTGGCTGGTGCACCTTTACGGATTATGGACAAAAATTTGCTTTATGAGCTGCGGGGCTGGGAGTTGGTAGAGGGGTAAATGAGGGCGCTGATTAAAAATAAAATTTACCATCGATTTCACCGATTTTTGAAAAATCTTGAGCTAGGAGTTGGTATAGGGGATACTAGGGGGCTGATTATAATTGAATCGGCTTTAGCCAGATATGTCGGCAAGTTTGAAATGTGATTGCTTTAGTTATTCGATGAATCATTCGAATATTTATTCGAAATTCGACTTCCAATGTTCGAATATATTCGATATTCATTCATTCGATATTTTTGATTTTCCGAATTTATTCGAAATTCATTCATTCGATATTTTTGATTTTCCGAATTTATTCGAAATTCATTCATTCGATATTTTTGATTTTCCGAATTTATTCGATATCGTTTATTCGAGATTTTTTATTTTCGAGTTTATTCGGTATTCATTCATTCGATGAAAAATTATCGAATTACCCAAGTATACTTACTACCTATATAAGGAGCCCCCGATTGTATTATAGGTTGCTTCCCCCGGTTCAACACCGGGGTTCGTCTGTGGATAAATTTATTATCGACACCACTATCGCCCGCGACACTTGGTTCCCACCAAATTGGTGCATCGGCCGGGAAGCCACCTCGTATTCTATCTGCAACCGGAGGAATCGAAGCCAGAAGACCCGCGTGGCAGGACGAAGAACCAACCGACTATCTGAAAATCTTTGTGTACCTTTTCGTAAGCGATCCAAAGAGGTGTAAGAGAAATCGGAAGGAATACCACTGACTATATGAAAATCTCTGTGCATCCTTTTCGTAAGTGATCCAGAGAGGTGTAGGAGAAATCAGTCGGTCGTGTGAACTATTCTTGAAAACTCTCTGTGCATCCTTTTCGTAAGCGAACCGAGAGTGGGAAAGAATCATTGTTACCACACAACCACAGACAACTTGGAAACTTTCTGTGTATCCTTTTCGTAAGTGATCCAGAAAGTGAAGAGTAGTCAAGTGGAGCACATAATCACGTTAATACGTAAAACTTTCTGTGTATCCTTTCCGTAAGCGATCTAGAGAGTGGAACAAATTTTGTGAGTGCAGCACATAACCACATAAGACCGTGAAACTTTCTGTGAATCCTTTTCGTAAGTGATTCAGAGAGCGGAACAAATTTTTGTGGGTGCAAATTTCCAATCAATCTCATTGATCTCTCGCGAATCCTATCCAAGGACCGGAGATCAGTACACTGAGATTTGAAAGGAAGGTAACTTGAGTCACAAGCGCTCATTTTGCCAAAAAAGTCAAAGTTCGACCAACTCTTGACTTAAGAGGATTGAAACATCCTTATCTGGTCAAGGTCCAAGCCACCTTACCGTCAGCACAGCGTTCAAGCCACCCCGGCACGCTTGCAACTCAGAGATCAGCACCACAGCTGCCTCTACTCGACGGATCACTAGAAGATACGTCTACAAGTCAACGAAACCTCGCTAACTTGTACCTTCGAAGCAATCGGCTTTCTGAGGAAGGGAAGAAAATAGCAGTCGGTATAGCAAAAATGGCCGCTCTTCAACTTTTCAAACACAAAATCAACAACGCTTGCAAGCTCGTAAAATCCTACGAGTCCGAAGTGGAGAATGTAGACGTCCCCTTCACATTTCCAACAACAAAAGCGGAATGTGAAGAATATATCAAAGAAAAGGCAGGAGTAATAACAAATCTCCTTAATTCTTTGCAAAACGCTGTGAAATTGCAAGAAACACAGCTCAACGCTGCCATTGAGTACATCAGTGCACGAAGTGAGGAAAAGGAACGAGAGAAGCTGATGATTGAACTTAGCAAGCATTTGGAGCTGGAAGCACTCGATTTGGAAATGATAGCAGTTCAATGGCAAAACAAAATACAGTTCAGACAACATGAACTGAGGGAGCAAATGACACTTTTGCATACGCCTGCTCCTAGTATTCTGAGTCAGTCAGACAGCGAGATAGGAAGAGGCTCAACAACGGAACGAAGTGAACACCAGATCAGAATCCGGAAACCGCTCCTAGAGGTTCCTACATTCTCTGGCAATTTCAGAGAGTTCAACAGTTTTTGGACAGTGTTCGATTCACTTATTCACTGCGACGAAAACTTATCGGATGGCGACAAATTCCTTTTTCTAAAGCAAGCACTCAAAAGAAAAGCAGCTGCTGCTTTGAACTGCATCCCTGTTGTCGGAGACAAGTACCAGACAGCCGTCAACATTCTAAAGAAGCACTTCGATCGCTCTGCCAACATGGCAGACATACTCATCAACGAAATTGAACGACTTCAAGGAGCAAAATACAGTCCCGAGAGTTGACGAGAAACGTTCGAAGCAATCAATTCACGGATCATCCACTTGGAACAAACTGGAATGAAGATGAGCGCAGACAGAATTTGGCGCAGAATAATTCTGTCCAAATTTCCTGAAGACATCTGCGCAACCGTCATACATAAGAAAGCCCCAAGTGGAGATTAATTCGATGTTTCTAGGATCCTAGACACGATCGACGACATCATCTCTCTACGAGAAACAACTGCGTTAACAATGAAGACACTTATTCCGAGTACTCTTCAAACAAGCAACCATCAGGACACAAATCATGACGGTCCAAAATGGGAAGAGGAGAAAGGATATCTCGAGTAGTCTCAATTTCCTACTAGCTACAATGATCATTTGCAAGTCTCCGAGATACTGCAAAGAACCAACTTCGATAATCGCAAAGCGAGTGAAGTACACGTTGCACAAACGCAGCGAAATGGACAAGAAGTCTACAGCTCAAGCAAACTGCCACTCATGTGCCAAAGCGTACTTCAAACGGTTTCAGCAATGATATTCAACGAGGCAGATTGGGATTATCAACCCATAACAATACTGATTGACTCTGGCGCCCAGCGAAGCTTCATCAAATCAAAACTCAGTAGGGAGCTTAAGCTGCCAGTCATCCAAACGACGTCATTCACCGCATCAGGAATGGGAGAATTGAAAGAGACATTCAATTCCAGTGAAGTACAGATTACTTTGAAATGCCTTCACAACGCAAAGAAGCTGAAGAAGATATCAGCGCACACGAAAGAGAAGTTGACTGCCAACCTACATACAGCACATCTCACAGATGCAGATGTCCGCTTCATTTCCACCAGAAACTTGACGATAGCTCAAGATGCTCACCCATAGGAGCGTCTCACCCGATCTCCTTATCGGACAAGATCTTCTTAACTTCGTCACTGTTCACACCGAAACAGTGCTTAAGCTTCCCTCGGGGCTCATGTTAACCCCAACCATCTTTGGATATGTCATATCCGGTACAAGCCGTACCAACGTGAGCACAGAGATCGTCGACACCTTTGGTTGCACATCAACGATGCAGAAACATTCCAAATCTGCCCCTTACCCTCAACAACACGCCAAATGGCTAACGACAAAAAAAACGGGCACCAATTACAACGAAAGAAGTACACGTGCAATCAACAGGAGAATCTTTCGAGCGCATGCTGAAATAAAATCTCAAAAGACAATGAAGTTGTTACCGAAAAAGACGAAAAGCCGGACAGCTGCTTTCAACCGCGAAGCTAAGGCAGACAGACAACGCTGGCTGGCCAAAGTTCGCTGCATATCAGGCTCTTCCATTTCCAGCTCCAACACAAGGAGTGCGAATAGAACTCTTGCTACAACACTTCAACCGACGACACAAACTGAGAATAAAATGATGGACATGCCGAAGATCAAGAATCGCGCACATTCAATCACGAGAACGCCGGCTGTCAAGGAGACAATCACCGCTAACGATTCTGATGATTCGAAATGCACGGGAACAATTTCGACGAGGAAGAAAAGACGTGGACGAGGAATAAAGCTACATCACAGAACGGTCGAAGCAATAGAACACCTCTCTGTTCATGAAAAATCTTTTCTGTAAATCGTTCTCATTACTAGGTCTACCTTTCGCATATGCATTGGCCATGTTTCTGTTTATCACACACTTTATCCTTGCTCGCCCAGAGTGTTGATGATTCATGTATCATCAACCTTGCTAACTCCTAATCTTGTAAATTGTACTCACGCCCACATCTACATTTAGATCGTCTCGGTAACTTTATAGAGTCATTGTTGCATGTTAGCTTATTGATATTTTGTCTTTCGCCTCCTCCTTGCTCGCCCGGAGTGTTGATGATTTGTGTATCATCAACCTCAACAATTCAATAGTCCTAATAGCTCACGGGTATTCCCCATAGGCTATATTACCCAATCGCTTATATTTAGTGCCGAATCACTCACCAGTGAGTGGCACCTATCTTCCAGGGGCCGCGCCAAGCCGCGGCATCCTCTTTCTTGCATATATTTCTTGGACATTCCGATTGTGCACGGGTCAGCTCCGCCTTACTACCTATATAAGGAGCCCCCGATTGTATTATAGGTTGCTTCCCCCGGTTCAACACCGGGGTTCGTCTGTGGATAAATTTATTATCGACACCACTATCGCCTACGACACTTGGTTCCCACCAAAGTTACGGTATGAGGTCCCACCTTAAACAATAGAAAAAAAACTTTAACTTAATAGACGAGAATGATATTCGTGATTAGCAGGTCGAATAATCCCACTATGTGAAGTCTCCGCGGATTTTAACGTTCCCACTCCTTGTTATTGATGGTTGTCTTCACCAGCCTTGCGTACTTCAACTTTGTAAGGGCGCTAGAACTCGACTTGCCCTTCAATTCTATTCCTTTCCTACTGAGCCAAATGAGTCAACCTCAGGCAAAAATCTTATATATAAAGCTGAATGTCTGTTTGTCTGTCTGTATGTCTGTATGTCTGTCTGTCTGTCTGTGTGTACGTATGTTCCGAATAGAAAATTCCATTTCTGAACCGATCCGGACCAAACTTGGCACACATACACTACGGGCCCCGGCGGGTGTCATAGGCTACTTTTCGTCATCGATCGATATCGATTTTATCGATTTTTATCGATTTTTCTGCTGAGTTCACCTACGGGGCTGGGAGTTTGCACAGGGGGGTAATCGAGCATGGGGATTCCGAATACAATATTGGTTTTCAGGATTATCGATTACTTTTATCGATTTTATCGATTTTTTTGCAAAGTTTGAGCTACGGGGCTGGGAGTTGGCACAGGGGGGTAATCGAGCATGGGGATTCCGAATACAATATTGGTTTTCGGGATTATCGATTACTTTTATCGATTTTATCGATTTTTTTGCAAAGTTTGAGCTAGGGGGCTGGGAGTTGGCACAGGGGGGTAATCGAGCATGGGGATTCCGAATACAATATTGGTTTTCAGGATTATCAATTACTTTTATCGATTTTATCGATTTTTTTGCAAAGTTTGAGCTACGGGGCTGGGAGTTGGCACAGGGGGGTAATCGAGCATGCTGATCATCCCCAAGGGGGGTGATCAGCATGCTCGATTACGCCCCTGTGCCAAATTCCAGCCCCCTAGCTCAAATTTTCAAAAAATCGATAAAATCGATAAAAGTAATGGACGATCCTGAAAACTAATATTGTGTTCGTAATCAGCATGCTCGATTACCCCCCTGTGCAAAATCCCAGCCCCGTAGCTCAAACTTTACAAAAAAATCGGTAAAATCGATAAAAGTAATGGACGATCCTGAAAACTAGTATTGTGTTCGTAATCAGCATGCTCGATTACCCCCCTGTGCAAAATCCCAGCCTCGCATGTCAAACTTTGCAAAAAAATCGATAAAATCAATAAAAGTAATCGATGATTCTGAAAACTAATATTGTATTCGGAATCCCCATGCTCACTTCCCCCCCTGTGCCAACTCCTAGCCCTGTAGGTGAACTCTGCAAAAAAAGTCGATAAAAATCGGTAAAATCGACATCGATCGATAACGAAAAGTGGACTGTCACACCCGCCGGGGCCCGAAGTGTATGTGTGCCAAGTTTGGTCCGGATACGGCGGAGCCGGGTAAGCCAGCTAGTTCATATATAATTTCGGATCAATACGCATGATGTGGATCGCGAACGGCTTCATTTTTGCTCAAGAACTCATAAATCTTCGAAATTTATCATTTTCGGAAAAATGCTTGTTACTTTTTTATTTCGTTCTCAAAAATTAAGCAGGTTGTGCATGGTTGTAGCACACATTGAGTTCTACTTATAGCCAAAGTTCGAATGCAACAAATTCAAAGAGAGTTAAGTTACGAAAGCAGTTGCAAAACTTAGTTTCCAACCTAATAAATAAAGCCTACGTTTTTTAGCCTTATCCAGCTGGAATGTGGGACGAGTTGCATGTATCAATAATGTTTGAGAGACGATTTATTTGGTACTTTATGCAAGCATATCTACCAACTTATCTTACCATATTCATCAGGTTGGGACTCCTTTGACTTTTTGAACAGACACGTATAACGGGCATTTCAGCTGGGTTTCGTTTGCGCTTGGCCCAAGGGCCATACCTGCAAGGACGATGCTGGGCGTGAATGCTTTACTGGCTATGATCTTTCAGTTTGGTAACATTATGCGGAACCTACCTCGAGTCTCATATATCAAAGCTATCGGTAGGTTTTTTCTTTAAAAAAATATCTTGATAATCCCCACAAGCTGGTAATTCTATGAAAAAAGAGGGAAGGTAGAGGTGGAGAGAATGGAAGGAGGAAAGGAAGTATAAGTATTTGACGAAGAAAACACAATTATTCAGATGTTTGGATGTTGGCGTCGATGACATTCATCTTCTGTAGTCTACTCGAACTTGCCATTGTTGGATATATGGTCCGAGACGAAAACAAGACTGTTAGCAAAAGTTCGATCAAAAAATCTAAGGTAAGCTTATAGACTTCCTTTTTTTGCAAGATGGATATGTGCTGAACTTGATTTTTGAATTTTTTTAGCCTCTTTCTGATGAATCCCCGCGAGGTTCACTTTTGTACGAAAAACGCTTCATGCTCCCAGCTGGTTGTAATGCACCAAGATCTATATCTAAGGCCAGATTTTTTCTTTTTTGCTGAATTTGATGAACAGAGTTTTATAGACAACTAACTAAGACCTCAATCTTTTTGAATCAAGAAAGTCAGTGATTATGTAAATTTTTTTATAATGTAACTGACCTTGACATTTCAGACATCGTCGCCATGGCCGCCGGAAAAGATAGATACAATATCAAGTATTATGTTCCCGCTCAGTTTCTTCATATTCAACGTAAGTTACAGACAACCTTTACAGTCGGTGGTTATCTGTGAATTGAGAGGATATATAATCTTTGATATAAGATAAATAATTATTTTATATATTATTTTTACATATATAAGTATGTAAAAAATTCAAAATTATTCTGCTATTGAATTACTTTTTGACCGTAAAAATAATGACCAAAATTTGCTGATCGACTTAAATTCTTGCGGTCTAATGGAAAGAAGTGGAAAGAAAGTTTGTGAGAAAATTATTTGTAACATAATTTTAACTGCAATACCACATCAAATTCGACTTCGAAATCTGCTACATAATTTTTTTCTTGTTGAAAAAATGTTTTTTGAAAGTCAGTGGATTTATAATTCTTTTTTATTTGTTGTAATAACATCCATCCTTGCAATTTGTTGTCAGTTTCAAAAATTCTACTCTTTGTAAGGAACATGTTATGAGCTAGACTCATCGACAGGTTGTTTATAGTCTTTAAAAAAGATTTTTGCATTTTGCTAAGCGCATCTGTGTGTTCAAAAAAGGCTTTACTAAATGATTGTCCTTGTCGCATTTCTGCAAGCAATTTTTCCGAGACACCACATCCCTGCTAATGTACGCTTAGGTACTTGAAATTTTTTCTCTGGAATAAGAGTCAGAAAATCAATGTTAGCATACTTGTGTACTCGCTCTATCTATGTAATAGCTTCCAGCCTAAACTTTATTCGTTTTCCTTTTTTTGTGTTACACGGAATATTTTCAGATTGTGTACTGGTCATATTATCTACAACGAAAGCAAGAAATATCAGACTCTATGCAAAAATTGTGATTTATCAATAATATGAATTGCTAATAAAATGTATTGATTCGATTTTTTGCTCCTATACTGTAGTTTTACCTTCACATACGAAATGGTATGTTTGGGTAATAAACCTCGATAATGACCATTTCGGCAAATGGGTGAGAAGTATAGTGCCCCGATTCCACTTCTATATGCAAGTTCCCTGAACCTACGTTTTCGTAAACAACTCATTTAATCCCTTTCCATTTACTCCCAACTCCCAGCTCCGTACCTCAAAATCTGCAAGAGTTTAGAGTTGATAAAAGTGGTAGATAGTTCTTGAATGTAATAATATACAGTTTGTTCCTGACCGCAGGCCAAGTGCGCCCGCTTCCGGGAGGCTATATGAATCCGTATAAATGCACAGCGTTGGCATGTTGCTAATTAGAGAAGGGTAGAGAACTACATGTCGCTTGAAAAGGGTGGTCCCATGCGGACATCTGCGACAGACAACGCAGGCACATTTACTACGGATTACAGATTTACACCAATTGTCCGAGGGGGGGGGGAGGGCTTTTGGGCGACATGTAGTCCTCCACCCATTAGAGAACAAGAATAACGAAATGACGCTGAAATTGGCTAGGACGATATGATATAAGTAAAGTCCATTTTCAAATAAATTGAGGTTCTTGTTTTCTCAAAAGACTTAAGGTACCATTCGATAGAGCGGAGCAAGCTCTACAAAAAGACTACCAAAGACCATCTAAGTAGTAATCCAGGTAAAATTTGGGACCAAAAATCAAAATTTTTAGCTACTCTATAAATCGAATCTCCTTTCAGAGAAATCCTACGAACATCCAACTTGGTCTTTGTATAGTAGACACATAGTAGTGCCCCAATATGTATTTGGCGGGTTTTTTTGCTGGGCTCAAAATTGAGAGAAAAAAAAGGTCAATGTCACTTTTTTCGGGGTTTTCAAGTAGAACTTGGTATTTCTCGATTATAAGAGCACATACATGAGTAAGGTTTCAAAATTATACTTACAAGAGAATAGTCAGAGTTCGAATGGCCAGAATAGCCAATCCAAACAAGCTGCATACCATTGGATGTAGCACAAAACGCTGACTTAATTTGTATTCCTCATCTGCTTAGCGTTTTTGTGGACGAAGTTATGGGCAGCTAAAGGCCGTTATTTTGCTAAGAAAATGTCCATTCAAAGCGCAAGTGGCAGCACAGAGCCACGTTCAGCTCAATGCTGGGCTAAAACATGCAGCTAGATTACTTCATATTCATGAAGCTTGAAGGTGAGCTCAAGCAAAAATGTGCTCCATTTCGCATTTTTAATACGGTTTTTCCGCAATAAAACTGCTCATAACTTCGTCCAGAAAGGCGCTAAGTAGATAAGGAACACAGATTCAAATCAGCGTTGAATGCAGTTTCGAATGATAGGCAGCTTTGTTCGTCACTTCGACTTCTGCCCATTTCTTTGTTAGTAAGGCTTGCGTATACAACGACATTTGTGAGAGGGGCTGGGAGCGGAGTTTGCCATTTTCGGACAATTTTTTTTCTCGCTTTCTATGGTAGGATTCTTTCTCGCAGAAATCCAATTTTCAGGTGACAAAATTTTTATCGATTTTGGCTTCAAACTTCCATCGAATACGACTCAGGCCGATCCTTAGTGGATATTTTGTAGAGTTTGATCTGCTTTATCGAATGATACCCTAAGTTTACTGGGAAGACATAAACAGCTTGAATTATCTAGAAAAGGTGTTTACTTTTGGAACAACCTGATAATTATAAACTGTACTCGTAATCGGCATGCTTACTTACCCCAGAGTGGACTCGCAGTCCTGTAGCTCAAAGTTTGCAAAAAAATTTGTTAAAATCTGTGTCGATAACGAAAGAACTATCCTTTGCTTCAAGCAGATCGGCGGCTGGAAGGCGGGGCTCTGTGATCTAATTAAGGCAAGAAGATGATCAGAGAGCATGTTTGCGAGGGAAGTTGCGACGCGAGCAGTCGCCTCTTGGGTCATGGAGCCCCGCCTTCCTGCAGCCAACCTGGTTGTAGCAAAAGGTACGGTATACTCTCCGCCTAAAGGTCCGTGTGCAAAGTGTGACCCGAACGGTTCGGAAATGAAAAGTTTCTACGAATATACGTACAGATACATACAAACAGACATTTAGATTCATATATAAGATGAAAAGACTTTATATAGATATCTACATAAAGGCAGTGGTTGGGTATATTTACAGTCTAAAGTTCCAATTCGCGATATCAACAAGACCATTATATATGGTGCATTTGATCAATAGGAAAGTGCAATTTTCAAGAGCGCAGGAACCAATAATTCAAGACGTGTGATACTTCGCCTACTGTGAGCTTGGGTTGTCACTTGATAATCGCATCAACTAATTGAGCGTAAACCAAGATGTTAATCACTCTTTGTTCAAGCCAACGTTTCGGCAAAATAGCCTTCGTCAGGGTCTAGAAAGTTAAAAACCCAAGTGAAATATTTCCTTAGACGTCAAGACCACAGTTCAAGATTAAAGTCAGTTTGCGATGGAACGAAAAAGAGAGAACCGGGCACCAACACCACCTTATAAGACTTAAAAAGATGTGTTAGACTACCCTCTACTCAGATATCACCTCTTCCCCTATTTATAGCCTCGACCTGACCTCGTATCAAAGTTCACAGAAGGATTGATATGGAGCGTGTTTATTGGTGATTGCAATGCACCTCCTTCCGGTTCACCTTTGAAGTCTTGGCGTTGATGTAAAACGCTTCCAAGGTTTTGCGCACAAGGAGCTCGGGCGCGTACGCTAGTATAGACACTGTAATAGTTTTCTCAGCAATATCGTGGCACGAAATACGGTGGCTGCCTAACGGAGTAAAGGTTTCGATTTGTTCCTCTACCCAACCAGATGCTCTTTAACGCTGCAGCAAAGAGGGCGTCTTGCTTATCCGATATATGTGTCATCATGCGTTAAACATGTGATGCGGTAGACAACCCTGGAGACCATGCAATAACCCTCTTGCCAAATGGGCAAACGACGCATGCTGGAGTTAGGCATGTACGATCGCACGACCAATTTCGAAGCAGTTAAAGTTTCACCTTCGAGGGCGGTATATCGACCACATTTGAGGATGTTATAGTTGTTATTGCGCAAAATAACGGAGAAAATTGGTCTCCAGTGTAATCAACCACTTTTGAATGGTTCGCACTGAACGTAGTAATCAAGCATGTCTTGTCTACTTCATACTCAGCAAGTAACTTCTGGTAAGGTATCATTACAGTTCCAGTTGCTAAGCAAATTGCAAACTGCAAATTAAGCAAAAATTCATTGTGAAAATTACGGCATTTCGGTGGATCTGGTAGATAATGCGAGTCTACGTTTCTCCAGATTACAAGGCCTATATTAATGGCTGATGACGTTGCCATATTTCCTTGCTTAGTTTGATCCTTCTGTCTACGTAAGTAGCCTAAAAAAGTGAATATGGTCAGACGTGCCTTTGGCATAGTCTTCTAAACAAATAGACGTGCAGAACAATCAAGCGGGCTAGATGCTGATTATTCTCATCTTTGGATTTAATGTGGAAATCACAAGGTTTCTGGAGTTGTTGACTGCATTCGCATTTTCTTGACGACGTCACCAAATGTGAAGGGAGAGGTAGGTAGGGAGAAACTGTTTTAATGACCAACTCTGTGTAGATTTAGGATCAACCACAATAGGGTTTTTACCCACCAGAATAAATACAATCTTATCTATGACCTAGAAATTGCAAATTCAAAGGATGCACATTTAAAAGCTTTAAAAATAATGAAAATTATCAAAAACTCACTGTCAGTTTAAGGTAAGCTATAGTCAAGGCAATGAACAGCACATATCATCTTAGGAGTAAATACACCGTCAGAATTGCGATCACATAGGTTGTAAGTTGATTGTAGGGACAGAAGTACACAGGTTTCCTGAGCATTTTTACGAGAAAGATGTTGAATGGAACATAAATTAATGACAATAACTTTACAGCAAGCGGCTGCTAAGTGCTTTTGGGATCGCAAATTTTCAAGGATAGTCAACGAGTTTTTCTTTGTGGATGATGTGGTAAAGATATATTTGATTGTTTGAAGTTGATAAACCTCTAAACTGAGATAGATCGTTTGAACTCCTGAGAAGGAGGCGATGACTTTATGGTGTACCCGGCTCTGCATCTCGCTTCAATTTCGGTAGCATAGAGGATGTATTTTTCGCTACTCGGCGCATCGGTGATCTTCGCCTACAACATCTTCACCGCTTTTAACTCGTTCTCCAAATTACGAACTAGCGCTTCCACCTTCACCGGCCAAAAGCACTACATTATAAGAAAAAACAAACGTACCATTCAATCTCGTTGCGCGTTAGGCGAATGCACCCGAGAGAGTAGCTGCGATCTGTTAGGCGACGGTGACCTCGACGCAAGAGTGTCGTCTTTGGAATGCCACTGCGGACCTGCTGGACTCCGAGAGTCCGGCGACGACGATGAAGACGACATTTGGAGGTTGCCTCCCTAACAGAGGTGCGATAGTGGGAGCCAATTTTCCCCTACCTTCACTTTTGAACTGGTACATGGTGACCACCTTCACTTTTGGAATGCAAATTTTTTCGCTAAACGATAAAGAAGGAAAATAAGCAAAACAAACGCAAAAAAGATTATTGAAAGCATATTTTTATGTATATGGCGTCATATATATTTAAAGAAAACGTGTTTAGTAAATGGTGTATTTGGGAGTAAAAGTTAGCGGAAGTGTACGGGTTTTATTAGGTAAATTTTGTCATAACGTAGTGCGAAGAATAGGTCGATCCAGGGAATAACCGCCGAGAACTAGAATTTTGAATAATAAAGCAACGACAAATTGCGAAATTCCCACTTTTATAAATCTTGCGGTTGAAGATGTCAGCTATTGCGACTTCATAGGTTTTGAAGGGTAAATGGTGCTCTATCAGATAGTAAAAAAAATCGAGTCGATTTGAGGGATAGTCGCCGACTCAGATAATCGCCGGGGGCAGGCGGTCCGCAAACTCGCGTTTTTCTGCAGGCGGTCAGCAGAATTTTGGG